CACGTCGTCCCTTGATTCTCAACTAGGCAAAGTTTTAGCCCTAAGAGGGTTTTTTACTGTTCTTCCTTTGATTTCTGTTGCGTATTCATCTTTCATACTATCTCTTAAACAATTTTATATTCTTATCTTTCCTTTTCATCTTCTTTACCTTTCATAATGACTGCTTTCTGTATTGCTTTTCTTGTTCTGTTTCAATGCATCTTTCAGGCATCTCCTTTTTCATACTTCGCTTATTACTCCCATTCTTTCTTGGAATCGGTTTTCATTTAGATTTTTTATCCAGTTTATCTAATAATGGGACCATTTCTTCATTCGGTTCAATATTCCTATCTTGTTTATTAACATTTTCTGTATTTTAGAAGTTCTTGTGCGATTCCATTGATCTCACTATTTTCTTTCAATTTCTTTATTTGTACTATATCCTTCCTTTTATTTTGCATACTTTTCATCTTTTACTTATAATTTTACTTCGCCGCTGTTGAAACTGACATATTAACGTCGTTCAAACATTTTCTGTCATTGTAGTAACTGTTTTTAACACAGATACTTCTTTCCACTCTCTTGGGCCTTAGTCTAATCTTTTTAGTCAATTATATGGGTTAGAAAAATTTGCAGGAAGAAAAAGCTATGAATATGATAAAGGTAGATCAATCTTAACTTCCTTTATAGTTAATCAAATATTATATTATCATTTAGGGTTCCTTTATAGTTTATCAAATAAATCAGATAACGATGCTCGTACTTTTCTTTCATTTCAAAATGTGATTGAACTACTTGCTTATCACATTTTACGAACTACTCTAAGAATTTCACCTCTCGCTTATTTAAACGATGAACTTCATTTTTAGAAACCAAAAGTACGGCAGAGGTAACGTCATACTGAATAGAATGTCGACGTAAAATGACGACAATAACGTCATTATGAGCAGGTAAGCAATTTTATTGTGCGTAAGAGAAAGAAAATTATCAGCTGGAGACGAGGTGTGACGGGTGAAGAGGGGGGCAGGAGGCGGAAGTTTAAGAATACAAGGAAAAGCAGGGGCAACGGGGAATACAGAAGTATTCAGGATAAATATGCAAACGCGAAGGGAACTCCCTTGACGGCACGATGCCAAGAGGGACGAGTCTGATAGAGTAATACGAGTAAAAGCGATGCGAGGTTCAGAGATAGAGTGATATTCGAAGGAGGAGGAAGAAAAAGAAGAGAAAGAGGAAGAAAAAGAGGAAAAGCAAGAAAAAGAAGAAAGGAAGGAAAAGAGGGAGAGGAAGAAAAAGGGGAAAAGGAAGAAATGAAGAAGAGGATGAGGAAGAAAAAGAAGAAGAAGAGGGCGAAGAAGAAGAAGAAGAAGAAGAAGAAGAAGAAGAAGAAGAAGAAGAAGGGAGATGGGAAGTGGACGGAAATCACGCGAGTGTCGAAGGCATCTGCTGAAATGAGAGAGGAGATGCTGGCGGTGAAAGCGAGACGCGTACACTATAGGGCAGATGGATAACGACAGACGCCAGAATCTCAATAATCGATAGGTCACGGCGGAAGGCATGGATGAGAGGTGAACAGGAGGGCAAATAACGGTGAGCAGCAATATGTTGCCATTCGCCACGCCATGACGCCGTCCACCAGCTGCAACCCGCAGTACTCAACCCGCCACCAACGGCGGGTGTACTGGTTTTTGTTTGTTTCTTCATTGATTCCAGGCACGTCAACTACCAGGGTCATTAGTCCCG